ATATTTTGACAAGTTGCATTTAAAAAATTTTATTAGCATACTGATCTTTCAATTTTGTACATAACTAAGTAAAAATAATTTATAAAAAAAAATTCATTTATTTCTTTTAAACAATCACACTTAATAAATTTGTATGTAAAATTTTTATATGATGTAAAAATTGAATATTGCTGTAATATTTTATTATATGAAAAAATTATATTTCTGTACAGTTTCTAATTGAACAAAATTTCAAAGAATACAGTATAAAATATCTTGTACTCATTAAAACATATTACAATAGTCTTAAAAATTTCCAAAAACCAATATGCTTTTATTAGAATTAATATGCAGTTTAATCCATTTATTGTAATCAATTTGGAACTCCTGAGATTGATAACATTAAGTGGTAGTAAGTAAATAAGATTACAATTAGTAGAAATCTTAGTTTTATTTATTATCTTAATTAAAAATACATATTAAAACACTTAAAAAATATATAAATTAAAGATATATTGGTTAATAATAATCCATCTATGATTTTTGTTGTGTTGTTTGCCTGTTGCTGTTGTACAACTATCTTTAACAATAACTATAATGTAACTAGTGTGCAAAAAATGTGAGCAATTTAAACTAGTGTATTGCAAGGAAATAATGTTTAATGTTTAAAGCACTGATTAAATCTGATAATGATGGCACATTCTCAGTAACATGTCAAGACTGACAGCACAAAATAATGGCTTAAAATATTTACTTGAAGATAATATTAGTAGACTAAAGATTGTTTTTAATATTTTTTCAATTTTACTTTCTATATTTACAAAATGTACAGTAAGACTAATGTACTAGGGAATTGAGCTCTGTGGTGTTGGTTTTAGTGTTTTATTTTGACACAAAAACACAGATATGCTCACTTGCTTGTAATATGTCTAAAGCAGTTTAAAACTGCAGGTTTGAGGGAGGACATGGATGTCTAATGTCATAACAAACAAAAACTACAAGAATGTTTAAAATATGCATATGTGTGCATGCAGAACTTGTGGGACATTTATTTCTACATATATGTGTACACACAACCAACCTCATTAATATTAACACAATTAATATAAACTACTTTATAACAAACTGTTTCAAAATTTTGTCAATTTCATACAAATTATAATATTTTTAAATTATTCAACACAAACACCTTCAACATTAAATTCCATTTTAAACACAGTGATCATTACCACCACCAGGAAAATTTATGATTTTTAAATTTTCTCAATTATTGTGTATGCAAATTGAGTACTTCAGTAAAAAGGATTCTTTCAGATATTATGTTTGCATTATTCAAAAGTGCACTGGTATGGAACAAGAGAAAAGACTACTTTGAAAGTAGTTGTTTAGGTTATCAATAGTTGCAACAAGAGAAGAGTCAGAACAAACAAGATATTGTCACTATGAATGTATGTCTCTTTAATCCGAAATTAAGTTTGCTAGACTATCATTACAGCTTTCAGAGTACTTACAATAAAAGAAGTGTCTAACTTGAAAGCTGTAATGATAGTCTACTGAACTTAATTTCGGATTAAAGAGACATACATTCATAGTATATAATAACAGCTACCATAAGTGATATTTAGAAGATGATATCAATTAAGTTACCTTTTGCGTAATCTTGCAATGTGTTTTATCATCAGTTTGGCTCAGAGATCTTATGTACTTTGGCAACTTATGTTTTGTTTTTATCTCTCTTACTTTAACATCAAATTGCTTTTCAGATAATTGGCTACTTTCAAAAATATTTTGGATTTTTTTCAAAAACATATTCAACTAAGATGATTGCAACTCAACTGTATCTTCATTCCTTATACAAAATTAATTATAAAATTAAGCATGGATTTTTCTTTGAAAAAATAATTAAAAACGCCTAACAATGTTAGACAATTGAGAAGCAAGTTAAAAAAAAATAAAAATGGTAATAAAATAGAAGACAGCAAAAAGCACATTATTAACAATTAAGGGATTGAGATAAAATTGAAGCAACTTGATAAGTAACCAGTTTGGGCTTACTTGAAAATGAATGCAAATGACAAAAAATGGAAGAAACAGAAAACAGTTTTTATACAGTATTTTGATTAAAAATGTCAATATATTCTGATGAAACTGTAATAAGTATTTTCTAATTTTTATTATATTTTTTCACAAATGATAACACAATGCCAGGCTGCAATTTTTAATCATATTCTTAATTTTTTCAATTTCAAACATATGCTTTCAATCTCAAATTTGTTGTGTCTTACCCCTGTACATCATACTTTTCGTGATAACAGAATCATGCGTCATCTATATAACTGCATTCAGAAGAAAACTTTTGAATTGAATTCACCCGACTTGCAGTTGAAACCAGAAGTTCTTGTATAGTTAATTGGGGTTTCCTGCCTCTAAGCTTTCCATATCTGGTCTTGACTTTCATCTACCTAACACCAATCTCAAGTAGGACATTCCAATTTTCAACGTAAGTGTTGAGTGCTGAAGTCAACAATTTGAGTAAGAACAACTTGAGTAAGAAGTGCTTAGTTCTTATAATTCCATTCTCAGCAAGATGGATTCCATTCAAATGTCTTACCAATTACCCACAATTCATTGGAAAGTAGCAGTCAACATATCTGTTGAGTGCTGAGTGTGTTGAGTCAGCACTACCTCAATGTTGAAAAAAGGAACGACTTTTAACAAATGTTGAGATCAGCACTGAGTCAGCGTTGAAAATTGGAATGTCCCGAAGATTAAGGACGGACGACAATAGAAACTTATAGGGCTACAATTGTTTTCAATTTTCAGCCCAATAATGCACTATATAATTTTTTGGTTACCACAATTTATTCTATTAATTTGTTTATCATATACACTATCAAATTTTACTTTGTGATTCCTTCAATTTATTAAAATTTACATAATAATCTTTATTAAAAAATTTTAAAATGCTTACGTGAGTGCTTCTGACATTTTGCTGCACCATTGAAAAAGATTTTCTACTTTTAATCTTTTCAAAAATCTCTTGAGCTAGTGTAAAAATTCCCAAAGTTGATAAATTAATTATATATGTTATTATAACAATAGGTATGGGTTAGATTTACCAAATTACCTTTAATAATCTATTCAAACATCTATCTTTGGGTAATCTTTGTGAGATCCTGGACATAATTAGTTCAAATAAAGTGATGTCTTCCCAAAAAAGTTTATTTTCGAGTTCTTTGCTAACACATTCTATTTTCGATTTTAATGTAAAAGAATCTGAAATTTGGGTAAGCAAAATTAATTTTTTTAAAAATAATAAAACATTCAAATATGCCATATTAAAAAAATATAAAAAAAAATATGCCATATTCTTATTACTTAAAGAAACATATTCTTCATATGAATACGAAGCAAGTTCCATTTCATTCAGTTTCAAACTTCGAAAATATCATCTAATTTCGCCATGCCATACGTAATAGTAAAGTGAGAAAAACACATGAGAAAAGAAAAGTGCTGCCAACTTCTATTCAACAATTCATAAAAATCATAAAAGTTTCTAAAATTTAAAAAATATATATATTAAAAAATGCTTTATATTTATAATTTTTACATATATATAGTGCAATTTAAAATATATATATTTATTTAAAATCTATATATTTAATCAAAAATACAACGTGATATTTCGAAAATCATTCATGTCATTTACTCTAGTGTAGACGATCAGTCTGTAGATTGAGAACAGACAATAGTAAACGATGTCATGCTAAATTGGGCGTAACCAAACCATCGAGGAAAAATAATATTTAAAAAAATTAGTCTGGAAAAATGAAAAATGATACTAAGACAATAATGTTATTGTTTATATATATAATATATATACTGTTTATTCCCTATGGGCAAACAAAAAAGTTTAAATTTTTATCCATCGAGGCCTCGGGAAAGAACTACAAGGGGAGCTTGAAGGTGGTCAGGAATGGGGCGTGACGTATACGGGGCAGACCACTCTCGAAAATTTTCTGGGATTTAGCGACATTCCGGATAGCATTTTTGATAGGCAAGTTACATCGCATTACTGTGTTCTCAACAGTAGCTCTTAGCATATCAGGAGGAATTTACCTTGCTTTCAGAAAATGGTGGACGTCATATTAAACATGCTTTGTAACACATTTTAGAAACAATTAAAAACATTTTCAACGATGTCTTCATATCTAATTTCATTTAACAATATGCAGACAGCGCCATTTCCCGTTGGTGGTGATTGAATTTTTTAACTATTTTTTTTTTCGCGGGAAATAAAATTCCAACGATCTCCTGTACACTATTACCAAGTTTAATAACATTCTGTCCAGTAGTTTTCATTTTTTGGCCATTTCAAAGTGGAACTTTAATTATAAACACCCTGTAGTATCAAGAATGATATTCTGTCATACTATGAACTTATCCTTGCTGCTGTATATCTTAAACATTTTTGATTATCTATGGAGCTTTATTATAAAAATTAGTCCTCATATAATATCAATAATTTGTATTCTTATTAGTAAAAACATTAAGTACCGATGTTAAAAACGGAAAAATTTTTATTTTTATTTTAAGTACTGTAATTCCGTTTACATCATTTGATGCATCATTCTCATTCCATCATTCTTGCTGACTGATTTTATTGTATGTTTGACCAGCGAAAATTCCCCAAAAATTTGGGCAATTTTCGACGGCCGGATGGCCGAGCGGCTAAGGTGGCAGCCTACTGTTCTGGGGACCCAGGTTCGAATCCTGACGAGTCGATAAATCCCCAGGAATTCGGGGAATGGTTCGTCCGGATATGTGGGGTCGCGTCCCTCATCATCCGGCCGCTCCATTGTAGGCCTGTTCGAACCCATAATGGGCTTGCAAAAACAGGCCCTCTTAGTGCCCTCAGGGCGGAAAGAGTTTTAAAAAAAGTGTGTTCGATGTATGGTTTGGTACCATAAATTAAACAATGATTTTTTAACATATTGCATCACTAAAGCTACATGATATTAAACTACAGTGTATTACTAAAAACGTTGATTTATTTCCGCAACAAAGTAAAATGAAATAATGCAGCATATATGGTATATTAAATACAAAAAGGTCATAGCAATAAATAAAAATAAAAATGAATCAGAATCTTTTTCGGATAATGTTTACATTTATACTTCGTTCCATCAAAAAATGCATCTCATCAAAACATGTAACGTCACTCTGAGAGCTTCTCATTGGCTACTGGAACCATCGTTTGTTCGGCAAAGAAATAATTCCACCGATTTTAACATTGAAAAGTTATTTATAGATTACAATATATTGATAAACTCATTAATAAGATACAATTTCTTAAATAAAATGAAAAAAGGATAGATTTGGGAATTCAGATACGAAAATGCCGGAATAATTCTCACGTATTTGCAAGTTCGCGTCTATTTCGATTTCTCACAATTTTATAATTAATATTTTTGATTGAAAAGAAAGTTTTATTTGACGCTCTCGTTATCTGATCCCATTTCGAATAAGATCCACTTTAAATAGGCAGAATTCAAGCCATACAAAAACCCATATTATGCCGATCGCATTTATAAGCCAAATTCAAGAATAAAACTCAACAATAAATTTATAAAGATAGTATTTTAAAATGTTTGCACGATATTAATTTTACAGTTTAATTTATAAAAAATAATTAAATAATCTAAAATTTCACGAATTACGATAATAAAATTTGTTAAATTTCTAACATTTTTAAATCTAACATTTGTCGTATTTACTGGCATTCGTAATATTTCGCTTTACATAATATTTAGATGGCGCTCCGTTTCCGGTTTGTAACCGTGGCTATCAAACGAGTTATTTGCAGTTATTTATATCAACAGGAAGTGATTAAAAACGAGTGAATATATCTAATTTCTGCGGGAGATTTTTAGATAAGTCTTACAGAGGATATCAGAATGAGGTATGTAAGTTAATATGAGGCACAATAAGTTCTGTTCTAAGTTTAATATGTAAATAAGGGATTGTCACATTGTTTACCGGTCAACCCAGATTTGTATACAGTTTTAAATACATAACTCTAAACGTGTTAAACTAACTTAGCATAACATGAATCACGTTCAGTATACACTGTTATTTAAAGACAATATAAACCTATTCTGCAGCTTTAGATAATATGAATGTATATTTTACCAGCTTTAGATAATATGAATGTATATTTTACCAGCTTTATATAATATAAATCAAATTTTTTCCAATTTTAAATAAATAAATGGACATTTTACCAGCTTTAGATAATTAAATAAATCTACATTTTGTCAGCTTTAGATAATTTATTGTATATTTATTTATAGAATGTCAGATTTACAGCATGATAACTAGTTATATAAACTGAGAATGGAGTTCATTTATTTATAGGTCATTTCTTTAAGTTGATTTTTATAGAAACAAAGTTTATTGATGGATTTTTAACAATAATTAATAATTTCAAACAATAAACAAATGATGTTGAGACATTTAAATAAGTATTAAGTAAGAAAATCTATCCTTAAATTGTTCTAAAAACTGTTTCTAAATTATAAGTGTATGCTTGTTTGACAATTTTAATTTTGTTATTTTTATTTTGTGGACGGTAAATGTCATATTTTGACAAGTTGCATCTTAAAGAATTGTGATACATAAAATATGCAAAGTTTATATATTTGGATTACATAAAAATAGTAAGTTGTCTCACGTGAAATGTGTCTGCAGCAGATACTATATGTGAAATTCGTTTCGGGTTGATTTTTATAGACAAGTAAAAAAATATTTTTAATTAATTAAACAGAAAAAAGTTGGCATACTTTTTTTGCTTCTTGACTTTAAATTTATTTTATTTTAATAAATATTTTCAGATTTTTTAAAGTTCATCAATCACTTTATGATTGATAGACATCAATCAAAGTTCAAAATAATAATAAATTTTAAAATGACTTGCTAAATTTTAAATGAAAGAGTTATATATTTATTTTTATAAAAGATTGTTTCTTTAAAATATTGGTGAAGTAGTAAGTGGAAGGTGTATTAGAAGCTGCTTAAAAACACAAAACTTTAAGGAAAAAAAAACATGTTTATAATTTTTGTATTCAAATGTTAAATGATGCTATGGACATGTTGACTAAGTTTGTTTGACTATTATTTTTGACCTAATTTGCTTCTTCTATTCTAAAATATAATCTTTATATTTTTGTAATTTTATGTGGAAGCTTTTGTATTTTCTCCTAAAAATCTAGGCTACATTTTCAGCTTTTTGAACAAGACTGGAACCTATTGTTTCATATATCCTATATTCAATTTAGGAAATTTCAGGAAAAATTTGCATATTTGTACATTTAAAAATATTTACATCAGTTTTTTACATAGATTTACTTTATAATACTTTCTAAAATTCATCATAAAAAAATAATTATAGTTCACTTTCAAAAGAGCTTTTGATTTTTCAAATTAGCTACACTGTTATCAGAAGCTATCTATAATAAGACTACATTATTTGATGCTTTTTTGTAAAACTTTTATTAGTTTTTATTTGGGTACTTTTTTGTTTTATTCCCACACATTGCATTCCAATGTCCACCACACACCACTCAAGCTGTCAAGTAGCTTACGAAATAACAAAGGCTAATTGAATTATGATTTCAGATGAGAAATGTTCAAAAATTAAAATATAACTAAGAATTATTTACATAAATATTCTTTGTAATTTAATTTTTACTAAATTAAAATTAAATTATTTTGAAATTGAGCATCTTGTCACTAATGCTCTTATTTCAGATTTAATGAACAAAATTTAAAATTTAAACCAGAGCAATAGTATAAACAAAAATAAATAAATAAATTATATTAATGCATATTTGTATATTTTTATTATTAAATATACTATTTATTCTGTTTACAAGGTTGCTTCATGAATTTAAATCTCATCCATTATGTAACTTTATGCAAAATGCACGATTTACTTCAATCTATTTATAAATCAGAATAAAATAATTCAAATAAATTTTAAAACGTGCTTATAATGATAATTTAGTATAACTGTGTGTGACATCAAGTAAGTTGATTTTAGAAATAATTGAAAAACTTTATATATATGAATAAGAAGACAAAAAGAAGCACATTTGATGAAATTCATAAATAAATATCTATTATTAGAGAAACTATACTACTTGGAATTTAATGATTTTCTGTTGTAAATGTGATTGGTTTTGTAATATTTATGTCAGTATTTCAGCTTGTTAAGCTATCAAACTTGTTTGTGTAATCATTGTTGTTGTTTTTTAAACCAGACATTCTACAATGTTTCAAAGGTTAGTTTTGGATTATCAATAAATGGTATATAAAAAGAATTGAAAGATTGTATGATTATTTTATATGTAACTCTAATAGTTGATGTTATGATAATTTTTTCAAAATTCTTATATTATCATTTCACTATTAAATCAAAATTCTTATATTATCATTTCACTATTAAATCAAAATTCTTATATTATCATTTCACTATTAAATCACATCTGATATTATGATAATTTAGTGAGTTACAAATAAATGATGTATGGCATTACATGATAGTAATCATAATGATTAAAGTTCTTACTCTTGCATTATAAACCCTACATTATAAGAAAGCTTTAGAGTATACTATAAATTGCATAGTATAGTAATAAGTTTCACATGAATGCATTACATCTTGTTCTAGAAAAATGTATCTATAATTTGAGTTGTCTAGACATTTTAGATTACTTTAATTTATATTGTATAAATTAGTACATATATATTTATACTATATATTATTATATATTATAATTATATACTATATATAAAGTATTATGTATTAGTTAATTTAAATACAGCAGTCAGATGTCCAAGACAATAAATGTGTCAATCTGTCACTCTGCAGATCTAGATTCAAGTCTGGATTGGATCCTCAAATTTTCACGGTTATGATATGCCCATCATTTATAATTCGGTTATCTTTATTGTGGGCATGGTCATATTCGTGACATGCATGAGAAAAGGAACTGTCGGTTGCTTAAGGGCAGAGAATTTAAAAAAAGAGAGAGAGAATTAATATACATGTATTAATAAAAATACATAAGTTAGCATAATAATTTAAATTAAAAATTCTTTTATTGGTAAACTAAAATCTCCATAATTATTAAGTAATCTTATTAATTAAACAGTAATATTCTATTAGTATTTAAGTACATTTTAGTGTTTATGATGATTAAACCTATAATTTTATGATAATTTAAAATTATTTTATTGAATATTATGAATTTAGATTATGAAGATAAGCAAAAAGAAGTCATCAAAAAATTTAGTTGATTATATCTGATGTGATTATTTCATATTTTATCATATAAAATGAATTATATTGACATACATTGAATACTAAACATATATTATTAAACTTTGGTCAAATGTTTGGATTAAGTTGTTTGATATTATTAGAAAAATGATGTTTTTAAAAGTTTAATTGCACCTGTTTATTAGATTTATTATATAAATTTTTAAATTCTATATAATGAATTTTGATGAATTGAACACAAAATGAAATAACAGCTTAATTAAAATATTTAATATTGTAAAAAAAATATATATTTTTTTCCTATTTCATAATCATTCAAGTTAATAGTTTCAAAGTTATTTAAATTAATTTAAAACTAAACATTGTTATTTACAATGAAAAAAATTTCTTTGAAATTCAGTTAATGATTATTCTCAGGGATTTGAATGATTTTAAAAAAAAATCTAATTTGAGTTTTTTTGCAAGCAATTTCCTTGTTGAATTTTTCTTTTTCATACAGTAAATTAAATCTAATAATTTTGTATTTTTGCTGGAAAAGAAACTAAAAGATTAATTTTTTGTTTTCAAATTCATTTTGGGCTTTTGTATCATGTAACTCAGCCAAAGTTTGTAAATCTGACATTCAATACTTTGGAATTTCTGGTAACCTAGCACTCTCTGTAAAGAAGCAAATAATCCAGAATTGCTTTATGATAATCTGGTATGCTAGTATTCCACAAGTATAGCTTTAGTGAATTGTATGTATACATTACATAAGTGGAAAATAAATATAGGATCGTCCAAAAAGAACGCAACCATTTTAAATTACTGTGTGTTAATTATTATCTGAGAAGTAAGCATTGTACACCAATTAGAGTAACTGTTCAAGTTTCCTCTACCATCTGCATTCAAACTTTAGAAAGCATTGTAAACAAAAAATGATGACTTCACAACAGAGAAGGCATTTTGTGTTCTGCAGTTTGCAAAGTTGGAATCATCACTGTGCAACAAGAATGTTTGCCTTACATGGTGGATTACTTTGAAATTGTCTGTGAAACTCAAAAAATCAAAAATTATGTTGAACAATGATGTCTGATTCAAACCTTGTGAACTGCAAAATATAAAATGCTTTTTCTGTTGCAAGTTGCCATTTTTGTTAACAGTGCTTTCTAAAGGCAGTAGACAAAAGCATGTTTGTATGCAAATGGTACTGTACATGAAAGTCGTACATTTACTCTATCAATTGATGTACATTGCATACTTCTCAGATAATACAGTTATTTAAAAATAGTAGGATTCTTTTTGAAAGATCCTATATTATATGTACAGTACATACATGATTCATTGTGAATGTCAATTTTGTGCAATAACATCTTCGTTAACTTTTTGCAGATTTTTTTTTTTTTTTATCAATCTTAACACATATGTTCATACACTGTCATCTTCAGACTGATTAAAGAGCATGTGTAAAAAAATTTGAAACTTACAGCAGTGTGTGTTGGTAGAAAATGTATAGTACAGCAATGTCTACAACATTCTGAGCACACAGCTTATTTAATATGCAAAAATACAAAAACTTCCAATAATCTGGCATTACTTTGGTCCCATATGTGCTGGATTAACATATGTCTACTGTATATTAAATTAATTTTTAAGTATGTTTTATTTGTTACATTGTTTAATTTAAATTACAATTTTTAAAGTTTTATAAGATTTTAATTTATGGTATTCAATTGAATAAATTTTTGTAAATAATTGTATATTTTTAAAATTTATTTATTTTTTCAATTTAAATTATAAATATATATGACTTTGTATAAAACTCATTCATTTGTAACATTCTTAATTAATCCAGAAAATAGTTCAACAAGAATTAATTGTGTGTGACTATGTAATTTGTCAATTTTGTCTTTGTATAAATATTAGATTTTAAATTTAAGAATAAAAAAAGCAATAACATCAATATAAATCATTAATTGAAGAAAAAATATTTGATAATTTAGAATTTTAATTAGTCACTAACCATCTTATGACAGCTGAGAAATATTTATTTAAAGATACACAAAAGTTTCCAGCCTAATTTATAGGTCATCTTCAGGTGATACTGTTAAAACATCGATTACCGAATGTTTTAGAATATAAAACATCATAAATATGGAACGTTCAAACATTTACATTTAAATGTTCCAAACAGTATCACCTGAAGAGGGCCTATAAATTATGCTGAAAACATTTGTGTATCTTTAAATAAATGTCTCTCAGCCGTCCATAAGGTGGTTAGTGATTAATTAATTACTTTTCTTGGCTGGGTGCAGTTTTGATTACAGTATACTTCCAATTATCCAGGCTAATCACCACTAATGGAGGCACATATAATTCTGAAATATGGATAATTTGAAAGTCTGTTTTAATGAAACCTATGCAAATTTTCTCTTATTTAGTTTTTAATTTTATATTAAATTTAACAGTATAGTTTATATATTATGAATAAAATGTTTTTTCTGAATTTTCTGCTAATTAATTAATTAATTAATTAATTAGCAGAAAATTCAGAAAAATCTATTGAACTAGCAGCACAATGTTTACAGTCAATTTCTTGTATAGTAAAACCTGTCCAAAACGGAATCCAAGTAAAACAGAAACCTGTCAAACTGGAAAAAATATTCAATAAGGTATGATTCGATTTACACAGGTTTTATTATATTTTTAACCAAGAATGAAGATTATCAGCTAGATATGCCATAATGCATCATTAATTTTGCAATATTAATAATTTATTGACAAGGAAATGATTCAAAATGTTTGCTTCAAACAATTTTACAACATATATAATGAAAAAAATTATACATATAAGTATAGTCATATTGTTCAAGGATCAACTGCTACACTTACTGTATTGTATCACGGAATAAATTAAATGGTCTAACAAGTAGTTACTGTACTTGTCATTTAATTTATGCCTTGATGTTCTGGAAATAGTTCTGACACTCAACATACCATTTTAAATAGCAAGAGTTAACAATACAAATTTTTAAAAATTTTAATGGTAATACAGTCAACCCCCCCCATAACACAGTAGATACGTTCTGCTTTTTATGACATTCATGTTGTACAAGTCCTTAAATACATGAGCCAATCACAGCCTGGCATGTATGCAGTTTACGGACTATGGCTGTTTGAAAGGTTTTCTTCCATAAAATTAATCGATTCTAGACTAATTTGACTCAACATTTCCAAAACACGTATAATTTTTTGGGAATAATCCATATAAACTATGCTATAAACAAAAAATTGTAGGATTACTTACCGAGTGTGCACTGTTCAATGACACCATTGCTTAAGCTTGTTTTATCATGGAGCGGCGCATCAAACAGTGAGCACGTGTTTCCTGATAAATTATTTTTCTGTGAAAAATTTGCTGAACTTTGGAGACATCATTAGTATAAATATAATTTTTATGTTTTTAAATAATAAATGGTTTTTAGTAGGTCCGCTGCTTGTTTAAACTCAACGGTTTGTGCAATATCCGCTATTGGTCTAGATTCGACCAATCCTGTCGTGGCATGAGTCGGTGATGACGCTTTACCATACTTTACGAGTTTCTTTTAGCGTGTTTATATGAATACAGTTGCAATTTTTTTGCCATTATATACGAATCTGCATTATATGAACCCGTTTTGTAGGGGATCTACTGTATTTGTATTCATGGCATAAATTTTTATTTAGACATAAGCATGTATGGATAATACACAAACCAGATAATCAAGAGTATACTGTATTTAGAATTTTTAAATTATTTTAATATACAAAAGAATATTATTTCAAGTTATATTGAAGTTATATAAGGGAAAAGCTGATACATTTTATAAAATTAATAACAGCAGTTTGTTTTTCCATTGAATTTTATTATTATTATTTTAATTGTAAATATAACAAATGATATTGATATTTCCATTGTTTAATTTTTTCAGTTCATTTGTTTAATATTTTTCTCAAATATTGACTGAGTTGTGATTAATTTAATGAAATAAAAATCAAAATCATTCATACAAAATAATCTCCAGGGGTAACAAGATAAAAGTCACTTAATTAAGTTTGAAACATAAATTTTTATTAAGACTTATAACATTTAAAGTTTATATCATCTAACTTAGTTGAAAATATAGCCTGTTGAGATCATCTTAAATTGCAAAGCTTGATAATGCCATTGCCTATAGAAAAAAGATAATGATTTATCTACACTTATTGGATAATTTATTACTTCTTATAAGTAATTACATAATACTTTAATACGATAATTTAGTCGTTTAAAAGCATGCTTTTTATTCCATGTTAATAATAGTTTCAACCAATGAATAATATGATCATTTGAATACAGAACTTTGCTTTTAAATTGGAAAGTAATAAAATTTCAAATATTCTGTTAAACTGTCATTCTGTTTGATTATAATGGAGATACAGTCGACCCCCCCTATAACACTGTTGATTATTCCGTTTTATATGAATTCCATGTTGTACGAGTCACTTAGATTTTACAAATATGTGTGTCGGGCTGTGAACGGCTCACGTATTTGTAAAATCTAAGTGACTCGTATAACATGGAATTCATATAAAACGGAATAATCAACAGTGTTATAGGGGGGTCAACTGTATTTCTTCAATGATACATTATTAAGCATCTATTACAATTTAATAATGCCAGATAAAAGGTAAAATATGAAAGGAAAAATAAGGGTTTATCTAGATAGACTTTATTGAGATAGAATGATATAAAGAGCTTAAAATTTTCTTTTAAATAAAAATTCATTTTTACATATCTTTATTATCTGACTTGAAATTTAAATTATTTTATAGAGATCTGTACATTTGAAATGAAAAATGTTTAAAATTTTTTTTTATAGATATTTGATGAGAATTTAATTAATTTAATCAATGCCAAACATCTGCCATATTATTGGGTTATAATAAGACTACTTTATATTTAATTATTAAACTTATTTTGCTAGAAGTAGACAATTAGGCTGCTGTCTTGTGATAAATTAAAAATTAATTTGTTATAAAATTATTATTCTGGAAGAATAGACTTGGCCCGAGATGGCAGCATAATAACCTATCTCTAATCAAATTACTTTATTTCTAATTATTAAAATTAACTGTATTATATCTGGATTATATGGCAGATTGTTTGGCAATAATTAAAAATTGGATTTGGATTTTGTGTTTATATAATTTACATTATAAAATTTGTTATGGTTACTATAATTTTTTTTTCAATTTTCAGTCAAAAATGGGATATATATTTCTGTGGCAGTATTCGAGCTGGCCGTCAGGATGCGGAACTTTATCGTACAATTATTGGTAAATTGAAATCTTACGGTACAGTTTTAACTGAATTTGTAGGAACAATAACAGATGCAGATGCAATGACAGCAAATGGTGATTCTCATGGTAATTAATGACACTTATTTTTCTTTTCTTTTTTTTTTTAACATTACAATATATTCAATTTAAATATTGTAGTGTTAAAAAAAAAAAAATAGCATTAATGTTAGGTAAGAAACTTAACCACCAAAAATTTTTAAAGAGTAATAAAGTTAGTGTTTACTATTATAAATGTTTTTTGAATGTAATCAAATGTATTTTTGTATCAAAAAGCATAACACAAAAGAGTTAAGTAAGAAAGAATAATTTGAATATTGTTAATACCTCATTAAACCTCATCTATGCCCAGTGACAAATTCCAGAGGTAAACAAACATTTTCAGGCTCCTTTTGAGCTCTGCTTCGGATTTTCTGCATTCTGTGAAAGGAACATGAATTGAAGTGTGGTCAAATTCAAATTTTAAATGCTATGTTGCCAACAGACCTATGATGAAGTTGAATTACATCATTCATCATTACATAATTGGGTGGGTTATGTTAATTGGATGGTGTCTTGTTGGTAGTGATGGATCATACTTATCATTGATACTTAAAATCTAGCTAGCTATTTTATTAAATATTGATGAATATCTTTCATCAATGTTTAATTTTAAGTATCAATGATTATATCAAATATATTGAATATGATATATAAACATCTTCTGAAACCCAATTCACTAGTACAAAGCCACACCAATTGCCAAATAATATCAGGCTATTTTTTTGCCTAATACTTCCTTCTACAGACAGATCAATTAATTAAAAATTATAATTGCCAGAAAATAGCCCAATATTATTCAGCAGTTGGTGTGGCTTTATATTGAATATGAAATATTAATACAAGTAAAATCACAGAAAAAAGAATATTTAAATATTTATTTAATTATTAGATGACAATTTTATCAGATTTAAAAAAAAAATTTTTTCCAAATAAACAGGAAAAATTAATATGCTAATGTAATGTTTCTTTCTCTTATTCTTCTTGGTACAGTTCTTTTTGTGACAATAAAATAAGAAATTGTTATAGCATAGCTCTAAAAAATATTAACCATAAAGTTTTAGATTATTAAAAATGTCTCTGATGAATTCAGCACAATTTTTATGCAATCATACATCAAACTAATGTTTTATGTTACTTACTTAAAAAGTATAAAGTGAGTAACATAAATCATCACATGAACTATTACATCATATGGTTGAATTTTCTTGTAATATTTTTTAATCCGCTCTATTCTAAATATACTGTAGTATATATGTTTATAATTATAACCTTACAAAGCTGGAACACTTGTAATAAATGACGACACACTTTGTTCCATTAAATCATTGCTGGAAAAAACAGCAACCAAAAATGTTTGTTTGTTCTATTAAATTGGTGCTAGAGAAAGTAGAAAAGATGTGTTATCATTTATTGATATATATGTTTCAGTTAATTTAAAGTCTATTATTATTATGTTAGAAAAATCTAGAAATATTTAATTTTTTAAATATTTTACTCATAGTTGCACAATCATCCAGAATTATTATATATATTTTTCTGTATAATTACAGTATATAATGAATAATATACTGTAATTAATTAATTTCATTACGGTAGTAAATAAATTTTGTTTACATGTATAAAGTGTAAATGAAATTGTGTATTTATCCTTTGGAGTAAAATTATTACTAATTATTGTTTTCAATATATTTTAGAATTATCAGATAAAGAGATCTATGAAAAGGATATGAGATTATTGGATCAGTCTGAAGGTATGTAAAATTTATATTATTTTAATTAAAATATTTATTATCTTAGAATTATTACATTTACATCTATTAAATTCTTTATTATTTCTGAATTATTAAGGTTAAAATCAAATTTACAACACTATTTCATTAAAATATTACATATCACACCTTAATTATATGCTTTTTATATAACACATGCAAAATCATTTTTGAAACCTTGTTAGAATTACATTTTAGAAACATAAAAATGCATGTCAATAGTGTTATTTATTGTTTCTACAGAAAATTTTTTAAATTACATTTAATTTAGGCTACAAGATATAATTTTTGTCTCTTAGTTATCTGGTTCCATGTTTTGTTGTTTAAATTATACTGCTAGCTATTTAAATATATATTGATAAAATTTGAAAATTCTTTTATATTGAATTGTTAAATTATTTTTAATAATATATAAAAGTGAAAATACTGTTAGTAAAATTAATTTCTTAGTAAGACAATTTCTGTGTCTTGTAATTTCATTCATTCTCTTAGAATGACTGTTGTTGTTATAACTTATTACATTCATTTAAAATAATTTGAAAGTTTCTTAAAGATATAGAACATTCTTTTAAATATTTCATATTACAAAATTTTTTACATGCATTTTCATTTTAAATAATGAAACTTGGGCAAATTCCACATTAAAAGACATCTGTGTTTTAATAAACATCATTGTCTTGTTGTAAAGTGTAGTGAAGTTGATGTTGACTCATGGAGATTCTATGAAATAAATTAAAAATGAATTCTATTTAAATTATTTTCATACTTTAGCATTACAAGATTACTGGACAGGTCAGTTTTTTAATTTATGTATTTATTTGGATACTTATAGAATGGAAAGGTGTTAACAATGTATCCTATATTTCTGACAATAGCAACAGCACTAGATTTATTTGCATGTAAAGAAAGCTTGTTAATCTGCTTCTGTATATTTTCCTAAAAATTTAGTTGATATAGTTACAACAGAATAAATGTAATATTTTGAAAACAGAAAACTTGTAATACTTTTCTTCCTATTACAGGAAGGAAAAGTATTACATTAGACAAGATTAATTTGAAATACTAATTTAAAGTTTTATAAAATCAGACAATTTCATCTAATTTCAGATGGTGTTCTAACTTAAATTATTATTATATGTAAAACCAAGCTTGACATATTTAATCATCTTTAACATTTTTATAATTGGTTTGCTGAATTGTAGCATGAATAAAATTCAGCAGTATTATTTGTAATTATGAACATGATTTTAGTAAATCATTATATTTACATTAAACTAAAATTTTAATTGTTTACTGAATTGAAAACTTTCTGCAAAAAATTTATATAGTTTTTGATTATGAAAAAGTTGATGTGATGATAAAATTTAGAATATTTCAAAACAATACCTTCTACAGTATATTTGAGATCTCTAAATAGAGAAATTGTTTATATCTAAGATATTTATATATTTTGCCTTAGCTTTATTAACTTATAATCTATTTATATATTTGCTTAACTGATTAGTTTCTAAAATACATGTTTTATATATTTTAATCTTATCAATATTTAAATATTTTTAAAATTAAGTACTCAAATGATTACAGGAGTATTTATTTTGCATTTTTTCTTTGATAAATTAATTTAAAGACTTTGGAACTATTTTAATCAAAAATATGTAAAATACTTTCTATTTGAGTTTTGTTATTTCTCTAAAATGAAATATAAAATTATGAGAGATTCTTCTTTTTTCTTCCACTCCTCAAGAATAAAAATAATTAAAATAATAACCTAATCAAAATTTATTTTTATAATTATCCTTTTGAAATATTATACAATTAAAATATGTAATGAAACATACATATATATATATAATTAATTTAATGTGAAATTAAATAAACTAAAATTGTGTTATGTTTACAATAAATGAAAATGATCTATTTATTAAGAGATAACATTTCTGTTTACTTTGTTTCTAATTAGCAACTTGTCAGAAATACAGAACAAATAAGTTGATGAGTCTAATGTATTTTTTACATATAATTTTCTAAAAAGATTCCTGCTGATATGCTTATATAGTGACTGATCATACTGAATTGTTTTTATTTAGCAACTGATGGTACAGTACTACATACAGGCTATTGATAGTTTTTATGCTGTCTGCTGGTATAGCATACTAGTGCAGTCCAGTCAAAAATATAGCTCTAAAATATTTATTTATATTTAATAGTTATGACATTTTTCTGCTATACAATTACAAAAATAAAGAGAATGACGACACTTGCTATTGTTACTAATAAATTAATTAATTGAAAATGAGAAAATATGGAGCAACAGATGTTATAGACTTATATCATATTAAATTAGATAAATTCTCTATATTGTAACATCATACAGATTAAAGTATTTTTAAATTGTATTTTGAACAGCTAATTAAACTAAATAATTAAAATATCAACATATGTTTCCACTAAACCAAACCAATGATCTAAATCTTAGTGGAAATATATTGATATGTTGATGTTTAAAATTATGAATTTTTATATGGGCTGTCTAAGAGTTAATATTTTATTTTTTGGGTTTCTCACATGCAGTTTAGTAATATACTTGTTACTGTTTTTCAATATTTTCAGAATCATAAGGATAGATCAGATGGTTTGAATTACCTTGATGTAGACTTAGAATTTTAATTTATATACACATTGTTCTTATATTATACACTAATTATATTATGATACAAACTTATGCATGTATTATGCCAAGTGAAACAAAAAAACATACAACATAAGCATACATAAATTTTTAATTTTATTCATTTATATATTTTTTTTTTAAATATCACAAAAAATAATAAAGTGTATATAAATTAAATAACAAAATTAACATGAACTAATTATACTAGTTTTATATTAGTTTACAAGTCCTGTTTATAAACAAGGTTCAAGTAGACAATATAAAAACAAAAAAGCAGAAGATATATAGTGTGTTTATTTTATAATATGCATTCATGAAGACAGTTTCAAAGAACAAATACTTGCCCTCTAAGGCCTCAAAATTATGTGTGTATGTAAGTGCAATGTTTCAACATCAATAAAATTAATATGTTAAAGTCTGTTTTAGTCACTATAATCAATTAATTATTATAAGTAACTTTTGAGATACCAAGTTAGTTGATATATTTTCCTAACTGATAAGGCAGAAAAAGTATTAAAATACATATTCTGAATCTTCAAAAAGTTGGCCAGATGATTGTGCAATAATGTGTTTCCTGTTGCTTTGTATTTGATCCTGGATCCTGAATAATGGATCTGGGCTTAAATCTAGTTTAGAATTAAAATGTAGTGCAAATTGGGGGTGTCATTTTCTATCCTTTGTACAAGCTGACTTCACTGCAAGATCAAATCTGCAATAGATAAGATTATGGCTTTCTAAATAATCTAACTATGCTCAGGTTTTGCATTAGCTAATAAATCAGACTGATGATAAAAAGTATTTTAATCATTTTAATTAGTTAAGTATCTGTTGTTAAAAATATATACCTTACTTATAATAATTTTAATGATAAAATATGTAACACAATAAACAAAATAAATTTGACAAAACTTAAAATTTTTATTTATTAAAAGATTTTTCACAATGCTAATGTTCATTAATTATTTTAAGTTATACTGTTTTTGATAAAAGATGAGTAAACAAACAATTTATCTTTAAACAAAATGGAGATTACAGTAATTCACTAAACACTGTTGAAGTATGTTTTCGTTGTTTGATTCGAAAGACTGCAAATTGACTTCAAGCCTTTGTTAGCACATTTGTCAGGAAAAGTTAGAAAACTTTTAGCTTTCATTTATAAGCTTAAAAAAATTAATATTGAATATAAATTTTATTTTATATTTTGTAAAATATGGTTATTTTAATTTAACTTATTAAAATCATTGAATCAGTATCATCAATAATATCAAATGTATTTTCTATGATTCATATACAGTCGACCCCCCTATAATGCGGTAGATACATTTCGCTTTATAAGAATTTCACGTTGTAGGAATCCTCAAATACATGAGCCAATCATAGCCCGGCACGTGTGCAGTTTACGGACTACGGCTGTTTGAAAGGTTTTCTTCCATAAAATTAATCAATTCTAGAGTAAATTTCACTCAACATTTCCAAAACACGTATAATTTTTTGGGAATAATCCATATAAACTATGCTATAAACAAAAAATTGTAGGATTACTTACCGAGTGTGCACCATTCAACGACACCATTGCTTAAGCTTGTTTTCGTCGCAGGGCAGCGTGCCAAACAGCGGGCACATTTTCTGACAAGTTATTTTTCTGAGAAAAATTCATTGAACTTTGGAGACATCATTAATAGAAATAATTTTTATGACCATTGAATAAGAAATGTTTTTTTCACAAGAAATGTATAAAATTACAGTACTGTATTAGACTTACAGTACCTAATTTAGGCCTATATACTGTACAGACTATAGTAAACTGAACTTACCCACCTAAACTCTCCGTAGTGTGTAAGTAGTTCGGCTGCTTGTCCCTATTGGTCCAGATTTGACCAATCCTGTCGCGACACGAGTCGGTGATGACATTTTACTGCATTTTATGAGTCTCTTTTAGCATCTTTATACGAATACGGTTGCAATTTTTTTGCTGCGATATACAAATCCGCATTATATGAACCTGCGTTATAGGGGGGTCTACTGTACATATATTATACATACGTACCATATACACATTTAATGTCTTTTTGCTTACATTAAAATGTAAATTAACTTAATCATATATATATATTGCCTAATTTTTAAATTTATTTTTTTACATTTAGCTGTAATTGCTGAAGTTACTCAACCTTCACTCGGTGTTGGATTTGAAATATCACGTGCTGTCACACTGAATAAACCATTACTCTGTCTGTATCGGCCATTACCCGGAAAAATTCTTTCATCTCTCGTTCGTGGTATTCACAATGGTGACACTTTCAACGTCATAGATTATAAAGAAAATGATCTTGATACTATTTTGATTGATTTTTTTGAAAAGGTACGTGTTATCAGAGAGAAGAGCAAATCAGCAGACAGTACAGAAATAACATCATCATAAATTGCACGAATACATTTATATAAGTTTATAACATCATTTACTATAACCTGTCACAAGTTTTTAAACCAAAATTTAAAAAGAAAGAAACAAAAAGATTAAAATTTGGTTTAAACTTTATAAATACAAAAAAATATCATGTTAAAAATATTTACATCATATTTGAGATTCAGATATATGCAACATTCCAATTTTGTAAACATATTGTATACTCTATTATTATATGTTTGTGTGTAGGATGAATCTTATCAAAAGTTTGTGCATTTTGGTAAAATAAAACTGTATATAAATATAAGAAAAAATCATAAATAGAAAAAGCACATAAATTATATCAATTTTTTTATTCTACAATTTTTAACTGTTATATACTTAAAAAAAATAAACTGCCATTTTTAAGAGAAGAAAAAGTACTGTGTGTTAATTTGGTCACTGATGAAATTTTTAGATATTAGCATCGTTATATTTTTAATGCCATTTCAGTCAGTGAATAAAGGAATATAAAAATGAACAATTTAATTCATTTTTAAGATATTTACAATTAAAAGTTTATAAAATATCTCAGCAACTGAGTTAATACAAACATATTTAATGTAGCAGTACATATAATTAACAACTCGAGATTATACGGCGACCATACTAATCCAATCAGTGATCTCAACGTGTT